CGATCATCTTTGTGGCCCTCCTCTGGACCCTCTCCAGCAGTTCCCTGTCTTTCCTGTACTGGGGGCTCCAGACCTGGACACAGTACTCCAGATGGGGCCTCACAAGGGCAGAGTAGAGGGGGACAATCACCTCCCTGTCCCTGCTGGCCACCCCTCTTTTGATGGAGCCCAGGATACCACTCGCCTTCCGAGCCACAAGGGCACACTGCTGGCTCATGTAAAGTTTTTCATCTGTCAAGACCCCCAGGTCCTTCTCCACAGGGCTGCTCTCAAGGACCGCTCCTTCCAGTCTGTATGGATGCCTGGGATTCCTCTGGCCCAAGTGCAAAACTCTGCACTTTGCCGTGTTGAACCTCATCAGGTTCACTCAGGCCCACCTTCCAAGCCTGTGGAGGTCCCTCTGAATGGCATCCCTTCCTTCAACCGTGTCAACCGCACCGCTCAGCTTGGTGTCATCAGCAAACTTGCTGAGGGTGCGCTTGATTCCATCATCAATGTCATTGATAAAGATGTTAAAGAGCACCAGTCCCAGGACAGACCCCTGGGGGACGCTGCTTGTTACCGGCCTCCACCTGGACATAGAACCATTGATGGCTACCCTCTGTCTGCGGCCTTTCAACCAGTTTCTTATCCATCGAGTGGTCCACCCATCAAATCCAGAGTCCTCCAATTTGGAGGTAAGGATGTGGTGGGGGAACATGTCAAAGGCCTTGCTCAAGTCTAGGTAAATGACATTGGTTGCCTTCCCCTTGTCCTCCAATGCCGTCACTCCATCATACAAGGCCACCAGATGGGTCAAGCATGACCTTCCCCTGGTGAAGCCATGCTGGCTGTCTCGGATCACACGCTCATTCCTCATGTGATCAAGCATGTCATCCAGGATGATCTGTTCCACGATCTTCCCAGGCACAGAGGTGAGACTCACCGGCCTGTAGTTCCCGGGGTCCTCCTTGCTCCCTTTCTTGTAAATGGGAGTGACGTGGCCCTTCCTCCAGGCATCTGGGAGATCCCATCCAGCAGTTTCTTCAGCAGCTGGAAGTTTGCTCTCCTGAAGTTCAGGGTCCCGACTCTGCTTTTTGCCAGGCCTGCATTCCTCCAGATCACAAAGTCCACCAGGGCATGGTCACTACAGCCCAGGCTGCCTCCAATCTTAACCTCCCTGATGCTCTCCTCTGCATTAGCGAGCACCGGGTCCAGTAGGGCTTCATCTCGGGTCAGTCCATCTAATACCTGGACCAGGAAGTTATCCTCAACAGACTACAGGAATCTCCCAGATTGTCTGCCACTCACTGTGCTGCTATCCCAGCAGATTTCTGGGTGGTTGAAATCCCCCATCAGGACAAGAGCCTGTGAGTGCAATGCTTCCTGTAGCTGAAGTAAGAAGGCCTCGTCAACAGGCTCCCCCTGACCAGGTGGCCTATAGCAGACCCCAACCACTAGATGCCCTTTACTGGGCCAATCCTTGATTTTAACCCACAAGGTCTCAACCTGGTCATAGCTGTTTCTCAGACGCAGCTCTTCACAATCTATCCACTTCCTAACATGGAGGGCAACTCTCCCACCCCTCCTACCCTGTCTATCCCTTCTGAAAAGCCTGTAGTCTTCAATCAGGGTATTCTAATCGTGGGATTCATCCCACCATGTTTCCGTGATAGCAATTATGTCATTCTTTCCCAATTGCGCCACAGTTTCTAACTCCTCCTGTTTATTTCCCATGCTGTGTGTATTGGTATAGGAACACTTCAGCTTGGCTATCGGCCTCGTTGCTTTCTCGGACGAGTCCTCCCTAATACCTCCAGAACAAGTCTGCGGTTTTCCCCTACTGCCTCCTTAGGTGACAGCATTCCCACGCTCTTTTCTGTCACCCAGTACACCTCCTTCCCCATCATATCTAGTTTAAAGCCCTACTAACCAGCCCAGCCAGCTTGCTCCCAAGAATATTTGTCACCCTTCTAGTCAGTTGCCTCCCATCCGCCGTCAGCATTCCCCTTTTCTCAAGGCTGCGTCCCAAACCACAGTACCCAAAGCCTCAAGTACAATATCATTCACAAAGCCATTCATTCAGCATGTCTGTCCTTTTCCTTTTGTCTGGATCCCAGTCACCAACTGAGTGGACAGAGGAGAACACTACTTGCGCTCCCGATCCCTTCAGCAGTTTCCCCAGAGCCCTAAAGTCTCTTTTAATCACTTGGGAGCTTCTTTTGCCTACCTCTTCATTTCCAACATGGGAAACTAGTAAAGGATATTAATCAGAGGACTTGACCAGGCGAATGACGTTCCTAGCAGCATCTCTAACACGGGCTACAGGCAGGCAACACACCTCCCTGCAGGACAGGTCCAAGCAACATATCGGGCACTTGGTTCCCCTCAGAAGGGAGTCCCTATGATGACAACCCTTCTTTTTTTCCTGATCAATGTTGTAGTGATACAGGGGGCAATCTGACTAGCACCAGACAACCTCTCTTATGTGGATGGACCTATACCCATATTGCAATTAGGCACATCAATATGATAGGAAAAAGTGTTTCACCAGAGATGTAACAACAGAAGGATCAGCACAATACAAAGGTGCTATAAAAGAAGAAAATTGCTTACCTGTATCAGAAGATTCTAGAATCACAACAGAAAGCCTCACCAAGGAGAGATCTCCAGAAAGAAATCCTTTCCTAGTGGCAGTCAGCCCTTAAATGGGGTCTACGAAAGGTAGAGCCAGGCTCCACCCCTTCAGGTCACACAGGTGAATTGCCTTCACCTGTGCTCCCAGGGCTGACCGGGTCCTTTCCCTAGGTGATCAATCAGTGGTTCAGGCCGTGACTCAACAGTTCTGATACAACCCACACCCACATTCTCCTGTTCCTCCAGCTCCAGAGCCTCATACCTGTTATGCAAGGCACCTGGGAAGGTGGGACAGGCTGAGAGGCAGTCCGCTTGCTGCCCTGAACATAGACTTGTTTCCATCCCTCCTTGTCTCTGAGGTCACTCCCTCCCATCTGACTGTGAGAGGGTAGATGATTCCCTACTGCTTGAAGAGCATCTCCCCCGCATCCTTCCTGTAGGGATGGCAGACTGTGACTCTACCAATCGATCTCCCTCTCACAATCCCAGATGCTCCTCAACCTTTCTACTTCTTCCTTTAGCTCCACCACCATGCTGAGCAGCTCATCCAAGTGCTCGCATCTCACGCAGGTGGAACTCCTGCCACTCTCCCCTGGCCGCAGCAGGCTCAGGCACTCCTTGCAGCTGGAGACCTGAACAGCCACATTTCTGGGCAGGCTTTCTGTACTTCTGCATAATTCACTGACAGATATCTAATGGATGCTTGTAGGCTTCTGACTGAGATAATAAAACAATTTTATCCTTCAGATTTTCTTGGAAACTGAGCTGTTCTACAAAGGTATCCGTCCAGCCATCAACGTTGGTCTGTCTGTGTCCCGTGTAGGTTCTGCTGCGCAGACCAGGGCAATGAAACAGGTAAGCATGAAACTACTACTCCTTAACTCATCAGAGATGAGTAGCATGGAGGCAGTATGACCAGTTCCACTCATTTATAAAAAGAATACAGTGGGAATTAAGCTTAGGATTCCTTGGCATTATGAAATGAGAACCAACTTATGGGATCTCCTTGATATTTTCATTGCCTGCTGGCAGGAAGCACAGGGTAGAGAGCGAGGAGAAGACTGCATGAAGATGCTTGGCTGTTAAGTTTCATTATGCTTGTCTTAGTTTTAGCTGCAATGGAATTGTTTTCTTCAGAGTGCCTGGTATGATACTATGGACCCCTCAGTACAAGAAAGATGTTGAGGCCCTGGAGCGCGTCCAGAGAAAGGCAACAAAGCTGGTGAGGGGTCTGGAGCACAAGTCTTATGAGGAGTGGCTGAGGGAACTGAGATTGTTTAGTCTGGAGAAGAGGAGGCTCAGGGGAGACTTTATCACTCTCTACAACTACCTGAAAGGAGGTTGTGGCAGGATGGGGGTTGGCCTCTTCTCCTGCGTAACTAGCAATAGGATGAGAGGGAATGGCCTCAAGTTGTGCCAGGGGAGATTCAGGTTGGATATTAGGAAAGATTTCTTCTCCGAAAGAGTGGTTAGGCACTGGTACAGGCTGCCTACAGGGAGGTGGTTGAGTCACTGTCCCTGGAGGTGTTCAAGAAACATTTGGATGTTGTACTAAGAGATGTGGTTTAGTGGGGGAATATTGGTGATAGGTGGATGGTTAGACTGGATAATCTTGGAGATCTTTTCCAGCCTTGATGATTCTATGATTCTGTAATTATATGTTTTTTGGTTCTAGGGGAAAAAACAATGTTGATAACACACCAATGTTTATAGTTCTTGCTAAACAGTGTTTTACGGAGCCAAGGCTATTCTTGTCACAGGGCCCAAGGAGCTGGGAGGGAACAGAATTAGGACAGCTGACTTAAACTGGCCAAAGGGATGTTCCATACCATATGACATCAAGCAGAAGGAATTTTGAATGGAGTGGGAGTGCATCTCTGTCTCTTCAGCTGCTCAGGGAGCTAGCTGAACATCAGTTGGGGGGATGGGGAACAATTGCTTATGCATCAATTGTTGTATACATTTCTTTAATATATATATGAATGTGTGTGCGCATATATATAGTCATAACTGTTATCCTTTTCCTTTTCTCTATCTTAGTAAATAGTTCTATCTCAACCTATGAATTCTACTCTGTTTTTTCTGATTCTTTCCCCCATCCTGCTGGGAAGGGAGGAGTGAGCAAACAACTGTGTGGTGCTTAGCCACCTGCTAGGTTAAACCACAACAGTCAATTTGGTGTCCAATGTGTGGGCCTCGAAGGGTTGAGATAACAGCAGATCTCTCCAGACCGTCTTAACATATGGTGGTGTTGTAGTTAGAAAATTGCTAGTCACAATGTTGAGGTTGGGTGTTTTTTTTTTCTTCCCCCTATTTATGGACCTCTTTGAGAGTCTTCTCATGGCATTATATTACGTAGCACCACACTGCTTATTTTCCCTGCTGCATTACTTGTCATCTCTGGGGACTGGATTAAGGTTTCATTTTGCTGTGCGGCCTTGCTTTCTGTTATGATAAAATAAGCAGCTGAGAAAATTGTTGTGTGTGTATTCGGCTTTGGAGTCATACTTGGGCTATGGAAACCATATTGTTGATAGTGTTAGAAATTACACGCTTTGCTTTGCCTCCTCAGGGAGCACGGCTATGGAAGAAATAGGGGAGGATGCTTTCCAGCAGTCTCTCAGCCTCTCTTTCACTTTTCCTTCTTTACCTAGAGCTCAAGAGCTAGTTACAATAGCTCTTGAAAATTTCAAACACCCATGCGTATAATTAATGAATATACAGATGTTATAGTTATGAAATATAAGAGAGTTTGGCTAAGCAGGTTATTACACCAAAGAAAGAATAGACAGAGTGCTTGCCCTTGTCCTGGGCACACTATAAAACTTCAAAGGAGGAATCTGCAGAAAGAGATCCTTCCCCGCTGGTAGTCAGCTCTTAAATGGGTCTAGGAGAGGTGGGGCCAAGCTCCACCCCTTCCGGCAACACAGGTGAATTGCCTTCACCTGTGCTCCCAGGGCTGACTCACTGCTCACCTCAGGAGATCAATCAGAGGTTCAGGGCATGATTCAGCAGTTCCCATACACTCCACCCCTTCACAGCATGAACCAATGATCAGGTTGACTAAAGGGTAAGCTTCTCCTAATACAGAGATCCACTATATCGCAATGCTTACACAATTTCCATTGCAATGCATGTTGGTACAATTCAAGACGAGTGATGATCGGTGAATGTTGATATTCTTTTTGGGCCAGTGCTTGATGATGTTACTGGAGGCATTCAGTCGTGAGGTGCAGGTCCGTCCTATGTTCCATCAGTCCCATGAAGACCATCACCGGGTGTTGCACCTGATCTGACAGTAACACTGGAACGCTTTGATGGCATTTTGTTCCTTCCGGTGATCCTGGAGGCTCAAAGACTCACGGGGAGTAATACAGATGTTTCAGGGGTACCAGGAGGGGAAGGTCTGCTCTCCAGGGCAAGATACAGGCCGTATTTCTATCCTGGGTCAACATTTCCGCTTGTACTGGGGCACGTCCTGGCCGCCTGTACCACACCTTCAGGCCAGATGTCTGCAGCTGCATAACTATATCAGGCACCAAAGGAGGTGTCCTGATCTGCCATAGGGACATGATGGGGGTCCCTTTAGCAATGAAGATCGGAGTGTTGACCACAATATCAGTAGACCATGTACCTATTACTGGAGGGACTACTGAGCCTCCCACCTCCAACAATCTCCTCCAAGGTGCAAGTAGGCCATACCACTTGGGTCCTACCGGCACCTTCCAAGGCCATTTTATTCTATGGGTGCCTGGTTCTAAATTCTCAGGGGCAAGGAGCAGAAGATTATTTTCATTCCCAATCTTGGGTCTTACCTGATGATCAGTGTCCATAATTTGGATCCTAAGTGGGGTGGCCCACGTTGTCTGCAGCATTCTCAGGACACTGGGTCTGCCGTCTCTAGGCCTTTCATTCAGGTCCCGCAAGGTTTCATACAGTCTTTTAGTCCACCCCTGCAGGGACTGGGAGTCTGTCTTCAGGGCAGCCTTAAGAATACCATTATAATATTCAATGAGGCCTGCCCCCGTTGGATTATATGGCAGGTGGAATCGCCATTCTATGTTGTTTTCTTCCGCCCAGCGCTGTATCACTGCACCAGTAAAATGAGTTCCTTGGTCGCTCTCGATGACTTGAGGTGTCCCGCAGTCAGACATCAATTTAGTGAGTGCCTTGATGGTATATGCCTGGTTTGCTTTCGGTACTGGATAGGCCTGCAGTAGACCACTTGCAGTGTCGACGCAGGTCAGAGCATATCTTGCCCCCTCAGACCGAGGAAGGGGCCCAATGTAATCGACCTGCCATCACTGGAGAGGACTGTGTTCTCCAGCAAGATGGGCTGTCATTTCGGTCAACGATCTCGGTCTCATCTTAGAGCAAGCATCACAATCCCGGCATGCCTGGGCGATGTCAGGTAGTTGTATGGGCAGCCCCCATGCTTTAGCAGCTGCCCACATTGTCTTTTGTCCCGCATGCCATAGCTTCTGATGTAACCAATGGACGATGTTCTCAGATGGTGAATTCTCAATCCGTCGACCTCGGGCCAGCATGTCAGCTTCATCATTTCCTGGTGACTGCAGGGGCTGATGACCAGAAACATGGTAGACACATACAGTCCTGTGTTTGATGGTTATTCCATATGTCTAACCACATGTCTTTGCCCCAGATTGGTCGGGCGTGGATAGTCCATTCCTGGGTGGCCCACTGTGCAATCCACAGAGTGAGCCCCCGGTACACAGCCCAACTATCTGTACAGATATTCAGAATACCATCACCGGGTTCCTTGGTTATAACCATCCACACGGCTCGCAGTTCTGCCCATTGGCTGCTCTGACCATCCCCCTCATCAAACCAGATTGTCTCAGTCAAAGGATGGTATGCTATTGCCCTCCACTTGCTTGGGTTGCCCTTGCTGGACCCATCTGTGTACCAGGCATCTTCAGGGATAGGATATTTCCCCTCCTGAACGGGACTCTTCTCTGGTGGAGCGACCAGTGTTGCTTTTGGTGCATCACTGTGATAGGTCACTGGGCCTAGGATCTTCTGAAGCTCTTCTTTCAAGGGTGATGAAGACAGACTACACCTTTGGCTGAGGTAGGCGACCCATCGTGCCACTGTTTGTGCTTGGGCCACCCCTGTCTTAGGAAGGTGGGTCAGATCTTTCACCCACCCCTGAATCAGCAGAGTGGTCTTCACTACAACTTCAGCCGTCTAGGTTATTGGCTCTACTGCCTGTAATGCTGAATAGGCAGCCAATAACTGTTTTTCAATCATACTATATCTTTCTTCTGCTGCATACCAGACCTGAGACCAAAAACCAATGGGGGTGCGCTAGGTGAGGTAAAAGGAACACCAGTAACCCAATATACCTAGAAACTCTTGCAGCTGCTTCGATGTTGTAGGGACTGGGAACATCTGGACCTTATCTATGACAGCACTGGGTAGTACTTCAGTCTTTCCTGACCAAACCACCCCCAGGAATTTTACATACAGGCCTGGACCTTGCACCTTTTGGGAATTTATAGCCCATCCCCTCTGTTGTAAATAGGCAGTTAATGAATCTGCCGCCCGCCGTACTGCCTCCAGTGAGTCAGATGTCAGCAGGAGATCATCAGTATAATGATACAGGTTAACATCATCAGACTTTTTTCCAATCAGCCAGGTCACGCGCCACTAGATTGTGACAATACGTTGGTGAATGCACGTACCCCTGTGGCAGGACCTGAAAGGTCCACTGCCTGCCTCCCCATGTAAAAGCAAACTGATCTTGTGATTCCTCAGCAATTGGGATACTGAAGAACGCATTTGCTAAATCTAGGACACAATGATAGGTTTTTACCTCCCTACTTTATGTGTCC